TATTTGCCCCAAAATGTATTCGAAAGTGGGGACTTGTACCCAAAAGTACCCTCAAATTCTATGATTTTCATGCTTGATCACCATTGTCACATTGTCCCAAAAAAACTATTGGGGGATGGACAAAGCCAGCTGGATGGCTTGGCTGTCAGCTCTTGCAGGTGAAATCAGCAGTGGTTCCAAAGGATGGAAAGTACGAGGCGCGTCAAGAAATGGTGGCACCATGGAGTCACGTTGGAAATGGGACCTGGGACATCGACAAGATGGGAATCACTTCAGCAAGATCTGCAGATATATCAGATATTGGATAATAATATAGCTAGGCTATATTGAGCTTTTGAGCTAATTAGTCCATATTTATCAATATTTAATCTTGAAGAATTACTAATATTGATACTATCCCAAAATATCCCAAAGTTGGTAGCCCCAAATCCATCAGTGTAAACCTCCGCATCGATGGACAGGTCCTTCTGCCTGTGGGTTTGCCCGATGAAGGGACCTTTGACTGGGTGGATCAGTTCTTGTCCAAGAACAAGCTCGGATCCTCAAGACTGGAATTTACCCAGGGACTTGGTGGCTGGGAAAAGATTCAGTTGAAGACATACATATGGCCCATATGGCTTTAGATTTCAGCCTGAGTGCATGAAACAGTCAGTGCTTGAAGCTGTGATTGGAAATGGGATAACAGGGGCTGTCCTGTTTGAAGCGTCATGCGAGACGAAGTGATACAGCTTTACAGTAGCATTCCTGACAGTTCCACTGCCTTGTTCGATTCGTCCTATCCTTGTGTCCAATATATTTAAACTGTCTTGATACATGTTTCCACTTCGACGCTAATTGATAGTAAAAAGTGATGCTCATGGGGTACACACCATTTTACATAATTTTACTACATTATATCCATCTACTACCCTCCAGTAAATCAACATAGACCCTGGCAGATAGGGGTTGAAAGATTGGTTTCATTTGGTTTCCACTAAAAAGGCCTTATTTTCAGGGTTTATGTTAATTTACCAGGAGGTAATATCAACTTGCTTCAGGGATTGGTAAATGTCCCATTTTGGGGCTATTGGACATCACCTTATAGTAGCCATTATAGACCATATACCTAATGGTTGGGTGATGTTCAATGGGGACATTTAATGACCCATGTTGAAAAAAAGTCTGGTGGTTTCCCAACTGACCTGTTTTGAGATGACTCAGGAATTATACGGAGCTTAGCGATCGTGCCATCATCGATTGGGCCGTCTCGCCTCGCACGCTTGGAACAATCGTCTACATGAGATCCGCTCTAAAAATATAAATGCTTACAAGGAATTTTCAATTCGAAGGCCATAGATGATTGGGCATTGATTTTGTTTACATCTCATGAGAAGGCGGAGTCCTGTATATATGCAGTGAAATTGTTTCGTTTGCGTTAGTGTGGCGCTAGACACTTTTACATTGCCATTAAAATGAAACATTGTCAGGCCCGATGCTTTCTTTGCCTCTTGCTTTCTTGCAACTGTTGTTCCCGGTCCTGCTGGGGCAACTCCACAGTAGCCTTACTTTTGGTAATCTCTTTGAACTGCATTAACGTTTCACCTTCTTTTTGGCCAGCATCACTAACGTGACTTGTGAAGATATGTGAAAACAACTGCTTTCCAAATTTTCACGGCTAGGCTGAACGTAGTTCTGGCGGTAGATCCGCCCTAGGTCAGCGCTAGATATATACATCCCCAAAAACTACGCAGTTGCCCATTGGTCAGCTCACTGTACCTGAAAACCCAAGAGCACTGCTTGCTTCAAGTATAGCAACGTGACAGACAGCTAGCCGGCAGCAGAAACTGGGATATGGGCCATGGAGTCATGGAGTCCGCGTTGTTAGGTCAAGTAAAGAAACTATGCAGGGTATGATACTGATAGTGATTCCAGTAGCTCCAGCCCCAGCGGAAGAGTGTTCGATGTGTGTTGGAACAATTGAAGACCTCATATGGACGCGGTGCACTACAACGTACTCATAGAATCTCGTAGATGGGTGTGTCCTAAAATTAAGTATAACTCCATGGTTTCATATTATATTTCTATATATTATACATATATATATAATGTATGTATGTAATGTAATGTACTGTAGTGTAGTGTGATCTAATCTAATGTAATGTAATGTATTGTATGTATGTGTATATAATATTATATATCTATACACATATATCATATGTAATATGTATATATATATATGTGTATATATATAGGGAAAATGATGAGCCACCCGTGGATTTGGGGATGATTCGGATAGCCAGACGATAGCTATAGCATCTCAATGAAGCTCCTTTCGCGACCCATGCATCATGCGGCCAGAACAAGAGTGGCCTTCAGAAGTATGGTGGCAGCTATCGGAGGAGAACTTGGCAGCCGCTGAACGGACAATGGAGGACAACGGAGGACAACGGACAACAGTCATGGCATGTGTCGCCACATATGGCCACGTTGACCAAGTGGCATAGGGTCCTATGCTTCTATGTTGCGGATGATGGGATGAGCGGAGAGCAGATGATACCAGATGTGTCCCAGATGTGACCCAGACAGATGCTTTTGTTTCCAATGTGAGCTCCAGAGGAGCTCCAATGACAAGCCCGAGATGGAAAGCTGGATGCTCTTTGTGGCTGTCGGACACCGCACTTTGAGAATGATTTCATTCAGAAGGCTTGTGTAAACAGAAAAAATGCGGGTAGAACAAGGCATCGTTTGTGTTCACGATTGTTAACGGCTGTTAACGCATCGCTGTGGACTTTGTGAGGTGAACACATGTGGTCACCTGAGGTGTTGATTCATGTTGATTCAGCTAGCCATTCTCATGTTAATTATAATGCTTGGTGTAGCTGTGATCTGCAGCTTTGTTGGTGGGTTTGTGGACAAATTCCAAGCATTTCGCAGATCAAGTGCACTGAGACATTTCAGCAGGACTCGAGTGTGAGCAATGCAGGAAGCTCAACAGAAAGGTGGAACTTCGTCTCCCTCAAAGTCCGCACAAGAATAGGGCCATAGCCGCGCCAAAGCCGGGCCATAGCCATTGAGCATTTCAGAGGAATCAAAAATAATTAATTGATGTGTTTTCATATATATTTCCTGAATTTGCAAAGGTTTGCTCGAAATTCTCTACAGACAATAATTGATATAATTGATTTGTCAATGGTGTTCGCTCAGACTGCAGCAATCGTGAAATGACTGCTGCAGATCGATGCCCATGTACTCTGCAACTTAATCTCTGGCAAATTGTGTATGCCATATATGATATCATATGATATCAATATAATATATATATATTAATATACTGTTATAATCTGTTGTAGATAGAAGATAGTTGCGTAAAATATCTTCACATGTTGTTCATTTCTGGCACCTTCAGGCATCACTGACTGCATCACTATTCCATCAGATCCCAAGGTCATGAAAGCCGTAGCCAATGTGCTGCCGCGCAACTTCATCATCCCTGAGGTACTCAGATGTTTGGTGCAGGATGGGTGCATGTATGTGGGGAAAATAATAGCTAATAGTACAAAAACAGCATCGTCTATACAATCCTTGGAAATATGGTTCTATCTTTTTGGCAGTTACGATAATACAGATACTAGTATATATATATATATATCATGTGTATATTATGTATGTGATGTGTAACATTATATATATATATTACATTATATTTTGTTTTATTATATACCTAGTTTTAGCTTTATTATATATAGTATACAATGATATATATATATATGTAATATACATACAATTAAATACTGTGTGGTATATCACCGAGGCTATATCACCGAGCTGTCAGGTGAAAGCCAACTTGACGGCAGAGGAGCGCAGTAGCATCCTTGCACGCTTCCCGGGCCATTGCTACAAAAAGGCCTGGCCCCAGCCCAAAAATATAGGGGAAAATGGTGATTTGACTTGAAAACATAGTGATTGACCATAAACCATAGGGATTGAAGTATGAAAAATGAGAATACACTCGGGATAGAATCAGCTTGATATGATATTCAGGTTTTTGTTGGAAACGGGGTACCCCACAATCCACTCGTTAAACATGTTTTTTTTGCAGGAAAGGTGTATGTTTGGGCTTCGATAGTGCAACAAACCCTAGACTTAGTGGGCAGTGGGATTTTTTCGGCAAGATCAATCTGACGATTTTTTCAATGGTGGAGACGATGCTAATTTGACCTATGTTTGCTGGATGCTTTATTTTCGGTGTTGGCAGGTCTTGGTTGGGTAGTAGGGTGTGGATGGAGCCCTCCCTATGCCAGCACTGCCGAAGGTAGCGAAGGTGATGCTGGGGGAGCCGCCTCAGGACTACAAGACTTTCATCCAACAGGTTGGCACCTCAACTGTCATGGAGAATGGAGTGCTGTTGACAGAAGAACCTTTTGACAGATGAGGATTTTCAGAAATCTTGATCACTGAAAAACACTGAAAAGCTGTGGGATTCAAGTTGATTCACATGAGAACTGTGCATCGCATTGTTTCCAGGGCCCCATTTGTTCCCCGCAAAGCGGGGAAAAATCAGGCCTTACTGAAAGAGAAGAAGGAAGCAGCTGAGGCAGAGTTGGCGCGTAAAAAGGCCTGGTGTATCCTGGCAGAGCTGCACCATGCTGCACCAACAAAATGGTGTGGGAATGTCATGAGCGTCATGTTCCCAAAATTCAGGGCCCCTACTGTAGACATCTGTAAACTGTGACAGATCTATTGGCAGTTCTTGAAAAGAAACAAACGCAGGGATTTGGGGTGATGCCAGTTTTCAGCCGGTGGAGTTGTAAACTCTTGGGTGTCTTGATCAGGAGGAAGCTGCGCGGAAAAAGGCGCAAGAGGAACAGAGGAAAGCGCCAGAGACTTGCAGAAGACACTGACACTCTCAGAACGGCAGTATGTTTGCAGGATTTTGCAGGTGTACAATAGATCCCAGAGGCAAGCCCATGTCCATCTATTTGCGGACCACTACTGGACCACTACTATCCGTTTGCAAATTCTCTCTTCTGGTCATTACTTGTTTGTTGGTTCAATGCCGATATGTTGTTGATCGAGTCACTTCCCCTTTTTGTTTGCTTCCATCTCCACAATGGTCAAATCCCATAGATGGGTAGATGGTGGCTCAAAATTGGATACTCCCACATTTTAGTGGCTGTAATTCCTAGATACTTCAAACAGTTGCCCGAAGTTTACCCTGAGGCGCCAGAAGAAGGAGGAGGCAGCCAAGGCCATGGTCACGGTTGAGTTTCACGTTTTTTTGAACATCACAAGATAGTTTTAAAAACATGTGATTATATACAACATATGATATAATGTATATATATATATATTATTATATATTTATATTATATATATATATATTTATGTATGTATATATGCATGATAATACATATATGTATATGTACATACTATGTGTATATATATATATATTATAATAATATATCATTATATTACATATATACATCTATGACGATATATAATGTATATTACACGTGTACTGTATGTGTGTACATATATATATATATACATACAAGTTTGATTCGTTTGGTTATGTCCGCCTATTACTGTAGGAACTATTAGGTGTGTGACAAGTCGTTCAAAGTGGGGCGGGCGCTGCTCTATACTCAACTCACGTTGGATGATTTGTCCTGCAGACTACAAGGCTTCTTCCCATACCCGCAGGTTGTTTGGCAGATGGCCCGTTATCAGCAAAAATGTACTCAAGTGTGACACACTTTAAGCAAGGAGACAACGTGTTTGTGATTTGTGAGCTGCTGCGAAAATGCCACTTGAACTTGTTCAAATGATTCTGATAATCCCAGTATACGAAGTGACGAAGTGTATTTTCCCAGCCCCCAGCTCTGACATGGGTAGCATAGGTACCCCCACAACGCCTTGACACAGGCTGAAGGAAAGGAAGGGGAGAAGGACTGGGAAGCGTGGTTGGTCAATTTCCCATTTGGGGAATTCAAATATAAACTTCAAATGGTTGTTAAAGATGATACCTCCTATGAGTTTAGTGATGTTCAAATGGGACATTTCACCACCCCTGTTGTGTTCCTGAGATTTTGCAGCCCCTACAGAGAGCTTCTTGTTGTAGCTTCAGGAGAAAGATGAAGCAGGCAGATGTGGAATGCATTGGAAGTGGTGGATAGAATCCTTTGGGCGTTGTTTGAGCGTTGTTTGAGCGTTATTTCATGGACATGTGGTGATCATCTTAGATGTGATCATCGCTCAGGTCCTGATTATTTGTTCTTTTCATGGTTTAATCACTAGTGTTTCAGTTGTAAAATCCATGAGCACCCATTAAAAAAGAGTGTTGTTTCTCAGGTGTAGAATCCATGGTGAGTTGAAATCCATTGAAATCCATGAAAAGCCGTTATTTTTTGGAGTGTGTTAAACAAAACAACTGTGTTTTCCTGTGGGGAAAAGAAAGCCTTCCATAGCCCCAGGTGAAGCAGAAGGGGATGCGGCAGAGGAGCTGTACATGGTGGAGACAGTTCCCCTTCTTGTTTCTGATCAGAGAAACATGGAAAACCATCCACACATGGGAAAATATATATATATGGATACAACTGATACAACATTGATATTTATAGAAACGGATTCAAATTGGATCAAATTTAATGGATGATTTTCATTGAATCTTGCCATTTTGTGGTCTACTGTACCTCTGTTTTTGGATAAACCCAAATATGGGCTCCAGGGTGAAGGTACCGTTTGCCCTATTTGCAGTTTAGCAGTGAAGCAAACTATCATAGTGGCATTCTTCCCAGAAGCTTTTCCTGATGAAAAGCCCGCGGATGTATCCACAGAAAAGTTGAGTGGCTGATGGTTTCACACCAACTTCAGACATTAATGTGGTTAAAGCAATGACCATACCCAAAATCAGCATAAGTGGGTGGTATAAACATGTAGTATGAAAATATTGGGTGATGTCTTCCCTTCCCAAAGAAATGCTGATGCTTTCGTCCCAAAAGAATGGGACGAAAATCGCCAATCACAACCACCAGGAGGAAGTCGTCGAGGAAGAGGCTGGACAGCTCATGGCGCCAGTGGGAAATGCGAAAAGAACGGGACCTGCTGAAAGTATTTTGCAAGAGTGTGTTATGTGGTTTGGTTTTTCCATGTTTTTCCAATCTTCAGTTTTGAAACAAACGGAGCCACTTAGATGTTGATTTTTAAATGTTGATCCATATAGTCTCTGTACATCCCATGTGTATTTTTGGGAAGCCCTGCCAGGTGAAGGTCGAACTGACCGCGGAGGAGAAGAAGTCTGAGGCCTAAGTGCTCTCAGCGATGAACATCAACTGCTTAAGGATGATTCCTAGCTACTGATGAAAGCCAATTGGCTACTATGAATTCATCAGGTTTATGTAGATGTACGAAACCTTATGAATTAATATGAACTAACATGAATTAACATGAATTAACATGAATTAACTGAACGTTTTGGTCTTTCTTTGATTCCCAGCGGGTAAGTTTACAAAAAGTTTACTCGCCTCACCGAGGCTGTGGTTCAGACCCAAAGAGGTGCCAGATCTGACCTCCAAGGACGATCCAATGGGGATCTTCCCATGGCATGGCGGTCAAAATATGTCAAAATATGTCAACCCAAGGAACTACTCATGGACTGGTTATTTTCACTACATGAAAACCTGATCTGTTCTTGGGTAAGTGTTGAAATTGTTGAAAGTTTCATATCCAAATACCATTAAAAACCCAAGTACTTGTGAAGAGAACCGGCCTTCGGACCTTTATCCTTCGCAATTTTCCAGTGTTGCAACCATGATAAATTGTATGGTGAAGATGTCTTAGAACTCAGGATGGCAGACTGTGTGTGTGTGTTGTCTGATACTTTGCCGCAGGAGATGTCATCATCATACCAAAAGTTCACATTGCCGAGCAAGGAGGAAGGCCCTTTCGTCACCATTGCCAGTCCCTGTTGTTGGACGAAAATCCGGAACCTCCCAGATGATTCATCCAAGTATCATCCAAGACCTAAGGCCCCATCGTGGCCCTTTGTCAGGCTATGACGAGCTCACCTTCATGTGGTACAAAGAAGCCCAAAGCAAGGAGTACTTGAAGAAATGGGTGCCTGGGTAGAGATTCAAGCGATGATCCATCCATATCCATCCATATCCATCCATTTTCAGCTCGTTCTTTTATCTTCTTGTTGGATGTTGGCGTTTGATCTGCATCATTCTGCATCAACGAGTGGCGTACATGGCATGCTCAAACGAAAAGTGAGGTGCTGGAACGAAAAATGACTCAACGAGTCGAAGACCTCCAGCCCTTTGGCTGCGCTACGCAGACAATTTTATGGCTTGTTTTGAGTGAAGGCTTGATTCGGGTATGATATGGTGATATTATATATAATATATACTATTATATGTATATATCTAGAGATTGATATATACCCTCCGGTAAATTAACATAGACCCTGGCAGACAAGGGTTGGAAGAGTTGTTTCTGCTAAAAAAAATGCTTATTTTTAGGGTCTATGTTAATTTACCAGAGGGTATATATTGATATTTATATATATAATATATACATATATATATATTGACATATATATAAATATATAAATAAATATATATATATATATTATGTATTTGTGTATGTATATTACTTTCATATATATATATAGAATATAATACTGATAGATATGGTGTAGGCTTATACCCAAATTCATCCAAAATCCAGCGGATCCAGCGCTTGATCATGATTTATCCTCTTAATCACTGCAAATTTGGCATACCGTTTCAGCTTGGGAATGATTATTCTAAGTCTATTGGCTGTCACTTGTCAGGTGTTATGACAACTGGGTAGATCTTGTGTGTGTGTGCATGTTGGTTGAACTTTTGCTTAAAGATCTGATATGTGGTTGTTCTGAAGCTTGTATTGTGATCATGACTCACGTGAGTCAATGTGTAAGATCGTGTAAGACCTTTTGTCAGTGGGATTCTTTAAGTTGTCTTCGTCACGTATATATATATATATGTATATATATATGTATATATATGAATATGATGATGATGATGATGGTGATGGTGATGGTGATGGTGATGATGGTGATGATGGTGATGACGATGGTGATGACGATGGTGATCATGATCATGATCATGATCATGATGATGATGATGATGATGAGTAGTTTTGTCATCGATTTTGCTGATGAACTATGATGAGCTCTCAGCATCTACAGTATTGGTTCTATTCGCAGGACTGCTCTGCGGGACTGCTCTGTACTGTTCCTCCACTCTCCGGTCGGCACTCGTCCCTTCCAAGGCCCTCGGAATGGTTCCGAAGCAAATACAGCGAGTGGAACAAGGTAGTCCAGCTGTGGCAACTTGGCGCCGGGTTTCGCTGTGGAAAATCACAGATGGGTCTGTTTGAAAATTGTGGCATAATTGTCCACAAAATGCCAATTGTCCAAGGAAAAACCATGATTATCCAACCTGTAGATTTATGTAGATTTAAGGGTACCCCATTTTCAGAAATTCCCGAGCGTAGAAGAGCCTGTGAGTTTTTGAGGAAAAAGAAGCAGAGCGATTCCAAGGAGAGTTGTGAGAACGTGGTGCTTGGGAATGGCCATCCCCGCAATAATACGGATTGATAAAAAGTTCCTTATGATTTCTTCATTATGAGGAATTGTATGCAAATCCAACTTTGAAGGTGCCTTTCGAGACCATGTTGTGTCCAAAACGAGAATTTGGAAGTAGATTGTGTTGCCATGTGTTGCCTCTCAGAGGCATAGCGGCATAGCGATTTTCAGAACCTGGATCATGGACCCAAATCCAAAAAGAGGCTTTGGTTGCAATCCCAGCCGAGCTATGGATATCCATGGTCACCATTGGTCACCATTGGTCACCTATGAATGGCGGCATCCAATGGCATGGTGGTGTTGTGAATTCGGGCGTGACCACGGAATCCAATATCATCCACGGAATTTGTCATGTTGTCGAAACCAATGGTTGGAAGGGGTGCTCAATGATTG